AGTAGCAGCCTCGCCGCTGAGACTGTGGGGAAACGGAGTGGAAAACTCGCCCCACTGGAGGGCACTTAATATGCCTCTACACCCCGATTCCACACCCGCAACCCAGGAGAAACCATTTCCGAGTTCCAACCTCACAGGCACTGCGGAGTTTTGAGAAGAGACTCAGACCTTGACCCTTACACCTGGACTCAAGGTCTTTCGGGACCAGGCTGGGCTCCATCGCCCGGCCACGGACAGCAGAGACCCGCAGTTCCTCCTTCCCTTCCTGCTCATCCGGCGCACGACCAGCGGCTGCAGGAATGAGAACAAACTCACTGCGGGGTTGGGTTCAGGCGGCACGAGAGGAGAGGGTGGTCCTCCTCCAGAATAGGCGCATCTGCTTATGAGCCGAGCGCTCAGACTTGCCCAGGGCTCTCATGGGCTCATCCTCATACCCGTGTTCTCAAAAATTGCCATCCTCCCAAGGCGCACTTCCACCCGGTCTGCGCACACTGGCGCATTTTTTCTCTCTCTTTCTCTCGCGCACACACACTTTCATGCCTTCTCACATCTCCCAGGACATCCTCAGGCACTGGGTCGCCGTTCCCCGCTAGCGTGCCCTAGGCAGGGTTGAGCGCCCAAAGGACTGAAGCTATAGTCTGGAGTGGGAACACGAAGAAAGGAAGGGGCCCAGTCGCAAGTCCATCCTCTCCTTGTTCCCTTCACACAAAAACATTCACTTATCTCCCTTCCGAACCCTAGCGGCATCCAGGCCGGAGGTGGGAGCTAGCGGAGAGAATTACCTACGTCCTGACTCCGACAACCCCCTCAGCCGGTCCTTACTTTTTTCATTGGCTGAAATTGTATTTCCTACAAGGACTAGGGATAACCGAGGATCTAGTAGCCCCATGTTCTCTCCCCAGATCTCCCTGGCTCTGTTTAACTTTTCCTGGTGCTACATGACACCACCACCTGCTGCCCAGGCAGGCCCGCCACTCCCTCGAGTTGAGACTTGGGATAAGAACTGGAGGTCCTGACCCAAGTCCTAGCGAGAGCTATGGGCCATGAGGGTGGGGAGGAGACAAATGGGGATGAATTGTGAGCCCCACATGTTCCTCTATGCCCTCTGCTCTTTTACGCCCCCAGGCAGATTTCCTTGCTCCGGTAGCTGTCCTTGCCAGCTACTCTGAGAGCTGGCTTCTACTTTTGTCATAGAGTTTCTGCTCTAAAGGGCTGTGTGGGTAGGGAACCTGGTTGGGAACAAATGAAGGGCTTCTCATAGCAAATGCGGTCAGGGGAACAGAAAGGGAGACTCTCGGTGCTTCCAGTCGCTAGGTCTCTTTTGGTGGTTGAAACAAAATCATGGCTTCCTCAGCATCTGATGGGGACATGGGACGCGGGTGGTGGTGGAGGGGTGACAAGCCACTGGGACTCCTATTCAGTGGATGCCAATGGGGAGTGGCTCTACTCAGCGGGCAACATCTGTGCCAACATTATGTGCAGGTGGCTTGTGATGATTGAGGCAGCAGCTCAGTCTTGCCAGGTATGGAATGGAGGGCTGGCTTGTATAGATTTATGCAGTGGGAGAGTGAGTAGCTGCTCAGATTTATTTCCAGACCTTCTGCATAAGACCTACCTCCCATAATATTTTCTGCATAATATTTTCAGGGTTAACTTTCCAAGGGAGAGGAAAAGAGGGAAGTTGCAACAAGTAGGGCTGCTGCACTAGGATTCACTTTACTGAATAAAGCTGGGGACTGGCACCTGCCCCCTACTGGTAGGTGAGAACTCTCGGCAAACTCCAGTGATTCCACCTGGGCAGCCTCCCAGAGCTTGCCTTGGGTTGAGATCCCAGACGAGCTGCCGCCCTGAGCTGGGACCACCTTTCTCTGGGACCAAGCAGCGAGGTGCCAAGGCCTTCTCAGCAAGCTGTGCTGCAAGGCCTGGTCTTGCCCCAGCAGGTCTATGGGCAGGGACTGGCTGCTAGCAAAGGCACCAGTGTGTGGTTGCGGATTTGTGTGTTTCTTGGGAGAACCATGCTGTGTATGTGTTTTTACGTGTGAGTACATGCATACAAGAGGGGTTCATTTGTGCATGTATCTCATATATATATCAGTGGGGAAGTGCCTGAGGACATGTGTTTGCATCTAAAATGGGGCGACGGTCTGTGTGTGCTTGCTTCTCTGTGTTTCTGTGCATGCAGGTGTGAACGTGTGTGTGTGTAATAGATCTGGTCTGTGTGTTTCCCTGGTTGGCTGCTATGTGTGAGAGGGTGAGAGGTTTTGGTACCATCCACCATGCCTGGCACACAGCAGACTTTCCATAATGGTGAATGGAATTTATGTTAAATGTATATGTACGTGTCCTTGTGAATGTTGGTACAGAGCCTGTTCCCCTGTGAGTGCGAGAGTCAGAATGGGGGCTGGGTAGGGGTGATCTGGGATAAAGGAGCTACTGTGTTTGCCTCCTCCCCAGAGTAAGCATGGCGAAGACTGGGTTCTGGCGCCAAGAACAGGGCATCACCAAGTCTTGTCTGGAAGGCTGGGCTGTTGCAAGGTAGGCTTCATGAGTCTCTTTGCACCCTCAGGCAGTAGCCAGCTGTTCACCCTGCTGGTCAGCAGAAGTTGGGGTGTTCAGTCTTACAAGCACAGATCAGTTCCTTACAAGCACAAACCTGAGTAGTCCCCTGAGAGCAGAGCCTCGCCTCTCCGGGAGAGGCGCAAGAGTTTCCGGGGCTGGAATTCCTCTTGGGGTGCAGAGATGGAGGGACACTTAGTGCAGTCCCAGACGGGGGGACTCCAGCCACGTCTAGCAGTCCCAGCCTCCTCGTTATCCCCTTGACCTTCAGGCCTGCACAGAGTCAACACTGAGGTGTAGCCTCCCGCGCCATTAGCCACCACCCCTCCAGCTGCTCGAGTCCAAACCTGTCTCAACTGGGAAGGAATCTTTGATACTTAGAAAGTCCGAGAAAAAGGGTCTTGTGATTTTATTCCGATTTTGCCAGAAAGCACTTATTTTACCAGAAAGGAAAAGTGCAGAGAGGTCCCAGCGCTCTAGGATCTCGGAGCCGACAAACGCCTCGTCCCCTTCAACCCTTCCCAGCCCGGGACAGCAGGCCGGGCCCGCGGCGTCCTGGCCGCGGAGGAGGGACGTGTTCAGAACCTACAGCCACAGCGACCTGAGACTACTTCCTCAACTTCTTCCTCTAGGAGTCCTGCCCGCTTCAGGTCTGCCCAGACCGGCTTAGACGTGTCGCTTAAAGAGGGGCTTGGAACCCCTAGGGGAGGGGGCGCTGCAGGTTAACTTACAGCCACAGAAGCACCCACGGCGCATTGTGCGCGGAGACGCCGGCTCTGGCTGACCCTCCGAGCCCAGGCGTCCGCTTGCTCCCATCTAGAACACGCGCCTGCCCGCCGGCCGCCCGGACTCCGATTTCCCTCGTCCCCTATCCCTTAATGTCCACTGCAAACCGACAGAAGCAGGTTTCCGAGCTCGGGGACCTTTGCTCCACCGCCACACACGCACCATCCAGGCTGCGCGCCTGGAGCTTAGGTCTCAGCGGCGGTCCCCCAGGCCGGCAAATCCGCCCAGTGCATCGCGCCCGGTTTCGCGGACTGCGACCACGCCAAAGGTCTGCGCGTCAGCGAACTTCCGGTGCCGGATTCAGTCCCCAGAGTTGGCATCTCCCAACACATGTACCCCCGCTCCCTGCACATCGCTTTCCACTCCCACCGCGACCCCCAAGGTGAAGAAAGAGGCGGGCGAGGGCTCTCTACGCGGGCGGTCGCGGTGTAGGGAGAGAAGCAGGCCACCCCCTCCCCGCCTCTGCAGGGAGCTTTCCCAGACAAGAAAAGGACGAGGGCTCTGGGGGAGGAGGTTTCAGAGTTTTCAGTCCCTTCACCTTGCCACTGATACACGTCGTGTGTGTAGGAAGGCATCTCCCGGTTTTGGGGACTCACCAGAGCATCGCAGCCCAGAACGGCCCACCCGGGGTTTCGAGTCCTAGAAGGGAAATTAGACACTGCTGCACTCCTGGCCAGCGGGCCTCGTGGTATATAACCATATATATTTATGATTTCTAATTTTATTATAAAATAAAAGCAGAAATATTTCCCGAAGAACATTCACATGAGGGCACAACAGGGAGACGTCAAGTCCGCAGCTCGGGAGGCACGCTCTGCCGGGGAGCGCTGAGGCCACAGTCCCGGGAGGAAGAGGAGAGCGCAACGCAGAGAGAGGGGGAGGGACGAGCGACGAGGGGGCAGGGGGCATTCAGGGGCTTCTGTGGCACTGCCCTTTCTCTTTCTCTTAAGTTACTGAGCAAAAAGCTGACACCTGCAGCCCCACTAGCCCCTGGGGATGGGGGAGGGCCTCTGGAGACGCCTAAGTTCCAAGGCCAGGTCTTTCTTCTGCCCCCCCCCCCAGTCTGGGAGTGAGGGATGGGGAAGAGGCAAACAGACACCTGGCAGGAGGAGAAAGACTGAGGGGTACAGACCGAGGGGCCAAAAAGCAGGGCAAGAGACTGGCAGGAGAGGAGAAAGAGAGAGAGACAGAGATAGACACACGGGGTGGGGTGTTGGCAAGTCAGAAATCTGGAAGGAAACAGACACAGAAAAGGGGGGAGACCAAGAAGAGGAGAGAGAGAAAAGAGGAGAGAAGAAAGCAGAGAATGCAGAGAAAGAAGGGGTACAAGGCAAAGGAAAGCAAGAGAGGGTTACAGAAAGAAAGGGAGAAGATCAGGAGAGAGAGAACAAGCATGGTGCATAATTTATTCCCTTCTCTGGTTGGAGACCCAGTTCCCCAGCCTCCAAAGGATCTCAAAAGAAAACGTTGAAAATAAATTCCGAACAAGCACTAAAACAGACAGCCATCCGCCCTGCCCGGCCGGCGGTTCTGCCCGCTCAGCGTGCGGGTCTCTCAGTACCTGGTGAGGCCGCCGGCGCGGGGCGCCCTCGAACACCGCCTCTCTCAGGTCCCCGGCGCCAAGCCCGGAAGGCCAGCGCGTCAAGGCAAGCAGGGTTCTAGGAGCCCAGATCCACGAGGTTGGCCGACATGGGGTTGAGGATGGAGTCCTGCAGGCCGTGGTGGTGTTGCAGCGGGTCCGCGCCGCCTCCGCCCGGCACCGGCACTGGCACCGCGCTAGGGCCGGGAGGGTGGCCCAGGCTGTGCAGGGACGGCAGCCCGGGTGGCGGCGGCGGGCTGAGCAGCAGCGCGGGGCTGGACGACGAGTGATCTGGCGTCCCCGACGGAGTCTTCTCGTCCTCCGAACTGCCTAACACCGACTTGCCGCTGCCGTTCAGCGACGAAGCCAGCGGGTTGTGGCTGTTGGAACTGGAGTTCTCGCTGTTTTCCCTGCAAGTGGAGGAGCAAAGCAGCCGGGTCAGCAGAGAAATCGAGCCACTCGGCGCCATCTCACTCAGCCGGAGCCTGTCGCCTAACTAGGGAGCCAGAACCGCCGCGCTGCTTGCGGGTGTTTTCGTTTTCTACCATTTTCTCGGCTGGCCTCCGGTTCTCCTTTCTGCCAGTTCTCTCAATCTCTCAACACCCAAGCCCTCTCCCTGCACCGTCTGTATTCTCCCTACCTCTCATGCTCTCAATCTCTTGAATATATCTTTCCTGTCCTCTGTATTTCCTGCCTGTCCCCCTTCCCTCAACATTTCTTTTAGGATCCGAGGAACAGGGCTCCCCAGAGTTGGGGAGCGGGCAGGAATAAAGAGAAGATGCCTGGATTTTCAGATCACTTTAGGCTCCTCAAGCCAGGCTTGCTGGGTAGAAGTGGGGCTACAGGATGAGGAACCCTAAGTCCCAGGCTGAGGGCCTCACTTGAAGTTCAGCATCTCACAGGCTTTAATTCCCTTTGCTTTTGTCCACCCTCAGGGAAACCCTTGCTGGGGAAGGCTCCTGGGGCCAAGGGTCCTTTCCCTCTGGCTCCAAACTGGGAGGGCCTGTGAGGGTTCTCCTTGCTAGGGCTAGGGACGGGACTACAAGGTGGCACAGTAGAAACTTCAGCTGCGGGACCAGAAGTTGGGGCCATGGATAGCAGCCCTTGGGACAAGGGAGAAGGAAGGGAGGGATCCGCTAATCCTGGCCCAGACTTTTGAGTTTTTATAACCAGAAATTCAGGGCCTGAATCTGTAGCTCTTACCTGGGGCCTAGAGAACGCAGGTCTTCAGGAATCTGGACACATGCCAGTCTGGGTGGAGGGGCACCCAGCAGACAGAACCCACCTCCTTCCTACCCTGTCTTTGAGTGGTGGCCCCTGTCCAGATTTGGATATTTGAAATTCTGGGTAGAATCATCTTCACTGGCTTCGCTTTTTTTCAGGGCTTTCCTGGGTGGGAACTTCCCACAGGGCTGGCAGCTGAGACCTCACCATTGTGGACACTCCAACCTCATGGTCTCAGATACCGGGGCCCAGCCTGTTGCACTTCTTCCCTTATATTCCCCAGATCTATTTCCACTGTCCAGCCCCCCTACCCCGGCCCTGATCATTCAACCTCTGGGCTGCACACGCCCCATACCACCAACTCCAGGTTTTGCTGTTACCCTCAGGCTAGATTCTGTTTCCACAGCTTATCTTCAGATTTGGGGTTCTGCCGGGCTACAGGGCAAGCAGTCACAAGGTCCTAACAGGCCAACCGGCTTGTTTCGGGAGTTTTTGTTTTCCCCAGGGCCTTCCACTTCCCGGCCTTTTTTGGTTTTCACTTCCCCCCCACCTTCCGGCCTTCCCCCTGAAGAGGGTAGGGCCTGCAAGAAGGGTCAAGGGCCTGGAGGACCAGGGAAGGACTGCTGGGTCCAGCAAGGCAGAGAGGGGCAAGTATTTCTCTTCTCTCCTAGAGCTTACACTTCCTCTCTGGAGCCTTTCACTTCTTGGTCCTTTCTATGTGGAATAAGGGACTCACTCTCAACTCCCACATTGAGACAAGAAAAATTCAGGCCCAGGCCTCTGCCCATCACGTCATACTAGGGAAGTTCCTATCCGATCACACTTTGGCCTAGAGCTAAGGCTGAGGAGATGCACAGCCGGCCACAAATATGCAACCTGGTTTCCAACTGGGCCCAAACCTCTCCATCCTTCGGAGGACATTCAGGTCTAGTCTGCTATGCCTACTTGACAGGGGATCCAGGCCCACAGTCCTGCTGCTCCCCCAAAGCTCGCCGCTTCTCCGCTTTTACTCACAAGCGATCGGGGAGTTAGCTGACAACTTCCCGGACTGCTTTGCCCGCTTCAGACGAATCCTTGCCCGCCAGGCCTCCGGCTAGACCTGAGTGACACCCAGGTCAGGCCAGGCTGCCGCTGGGGTGTGGCTGGGCCTGGGGGAGCAGTTTGAGCCGCTCCATGGGTGGGCAGAAGCCCTGCGACCCCTCCCTCGGCCCCGGGAAATCGGCGCAAAGCTCTACTTACCTTTCCTTGGCCTCGGCCGCCCGGTCGCGCTGCCGCCGGTTTTTGAACCAGTTGCTGACCTGCGTTGTGGTGAGGCCCGTGGCTTCCGCCAGCTCACGCTTCTCGCGGGGTGAAGGGTAGGGGTTGTGCGCGTACCACTCGCGCAGCACGCTGCGACTCTTTTCTTTGAAGCAGTAGCTGGTCTCCTCGCCGTCCCAGATGGAGCGCGGCAGCGGGAACTTGCGGCGCACGCGGTATTTGCCCACAGCGCCCAGGGGCCGGCCGCGCAGCTTCTCCGCCTCGATGTAGTGCGCCTTGAGCCACAGCTGCTGCAGCTTGGCGTGGTTGTGCGGCGAGAACTGGTGGCTCTCCAGGATCTTGTAGAGCTCGCGGAAGTTGCCGCGGTGGAAGGCCACCACGGCCTTGGCCTTGAGCACGCTTTCATTCTTGTGGAGGTGCTCGCAGGCGGGCAGCGACCACAGGAAGCGGCCCAGCCGCTCGATGTTGCCGCCCTGCTGCAGCACCTCGCACACGCATGCCACTTGCTCCTGCGTGAAGCCGAAGGTGGGCAGCATGGACATGGTGCCGGCTGCGCCCCCGCCCGCCCCCGCGCGTCCTCACCGCGCCGCACAGTGCCGCATGGGCGCCTCCCCGCCGGGCCGTGCGGGCCGTCCGGTCCGAGGAGCCCGCGGGCCGGGCCCCCTGGCCCGGCGCTGGCTCCCTGTGATCCCGGAGTCACAGCAGTACGTCGGCGCGCCAGGCGCGGGTCTCGAGTAGCTCCGCGCCCCCGCCGCCTGCGCGCGTCGCCTGCGCCCTCGCTAAAGCCCGGGGGCCGCCCGGGGCGCCGCTCCGCATGCTCCGCGCCCGCCCGCCGCTCCCTCGCTCTCTCCTTGCTAGCTCTCCCTCCCGTCTAGCTCGCTCGCAGCTTTTTTAATAATATTATTCTAAGCGGGCATGAGGCACGGCGGCCCGCGCCCTGATTGGTCCGGTTATCTGACCTGGGGCCGGCCCGCGCCAGACAATAGTCGGAGTCAAATTATTCGCCATGGAGACGCTGTCAGTCACTGGTAACCCGAGCCCCGGCGGGCCGGGCTGCTCCCCCCAGCCGGCTCCGCTGACAGATCGCCGAGTTCAGCGCGTAGCGGAGGGCCGCTGGAGATAGGAACCGGAGGAGCTCCAAGAGCCTGGGAGGCGGAGAGCGGCGGGGTAGAGGCCCGGGGCGGCGGTGATTGACGGGGCGGACGCCCAAAGAGCAAGGGAGGTGGAGGACACTGGAGGCGAGGGGGGCGGAATGGGGACGTGCGAAGACGAAAAGGGGAGGATCGAGGGGGGGAGGAAAGACGTGAGAAGACAAGACGGAAGATCATTTAAGGGGGTGCCCAGGAGGAAGGGGAGGAAGAGGGTTGGAGGGAGCCGGGGCGGGGTGGTGAAGAAGCTTTGGGTTGCTATTCGCAAAGGAAGGCACTACAGCTTCTCCCGGGTCCTGCCGGGTACCCCCACTGCCCCGGTTCCCACCTGGGTCACCTCTTCCCTCCCAGGATCGCTTTTCGCCGGGCAGATTCTCTTCAGGAGCCGACTAATGGGATGGGAGAGTTTGGACGTTCTCCGGCGCCACTCAAACACTTGGCTTTTTCTGCTGACAGCACCCCACCCCCATCCTAGAAACTCCGGACTCAGGCGGTCCTCGAGGGAAAGAGGGAGGGAGTAGGAGAGAGGAGTGGGGAAGATTTGGCAGTGGCTGCAGGCGGACGCCTGAGAATCAACTTCCCGGAGAATCCCGCCTTTCCTCCCTCTCCTAGCCCAGCCGGCTGCCCGGAGTCTGGTACCGCCCCAACTCCGCGCTCACTGCTCCTGGCCGGGCGGGGACTCAGACTTAACCCCACGGCTCCCACGGCCGACAAGCGCACGGCAGTTCCCTGTGGCCTCTAAGGATATCGACTCCGGCCGGCAGCTGCGACGCAGAACCGGAGAACAGCGCAGACCCGCAGTCTGCCCACGGGGGGCGGGAAGGCAAGGCAGGGGGTTTAGGACGATGTTGGCGCTTCCCCGGTGGGTGGTCGGGGAGGACAGAGGCAGGATGTCCGCCTCTCCGCTTGGGCTTGGCTCGGGATCCTGGCCACCTCAGCCTGGAAACCGGGTCACTGAGTTCCGGAATGAGGGGCTTAAAAGGGGGGTCCTGTTTTTTGCCTCTTTGTCAGGGCGCCAGTAGAAACACATGGTGCTGGTTCTGTGGGAGAAGAGCTCGCAGAGACGTGGGAGAGCTGGGGTGGGGGACGTGTTTCTACTGCTTCTAACGTTTTGAAAAGCCCGGGGCTTAGCTCCTTCCCCAGTTTGTCCTTTCCACTTCCGTTTCCCGTCTTCCCGCTCAGCTGCTGCAGACCAGGAGATCTCATTGTCATTTTCAGTGCCAGGACCCTAGCCAGCACAGATCGGGGCTCTGCCCTCAGCCTGGAGCTGTGGAACCTGAGTCTAGGCCACGTTTCTTTGTTCCCACCCTTTTAAACTTTCTAGGGGGGTTGTGCTGGAGTACTGGAATGGGAGTCTAGAGCCCTGGGTTCAACTTTTGGCTTTGCTTCGTGTCTATGGGTAAGGCACGTTCTTATGATTTTTGTCCATTTTTTCCTCTCTGCTCCAGCATTCCAGAAGTCCTTTGAGAGTGTTGCAGGCCTGAGAGAGTGGAATCCCAGGACTCCCCCTAAGACTTTAATTACTGGGGGCCTGCCCTGGTATGTTGAGGCCACAGGGCTGTCAAAGCAGGTTCCAGCCAGAAGGTAGGGGGAGGCAGTCAGCTTCCTGCAGAAACCCAGGTGGCATCTTTGAAGTCTGCATCTGTGGGCTGGGAGGAGCCCTACTGTATCTAGGCCACTGTATCCAGAGTCCTATGTACTGCCACACAAGGTTTGGCCCAGAGTCAGCTGTGAGCATGCTGGGAGACCTGGGGAAGAATTTACCCCAGGTTTCGATGAGGTTCAGAACCCACTTTGCTGGGCTCCAACAAAGGACATCTCTTTCCAAGACCTCTTCTCCAGCTACATGGTTAAAAGGATTCCGCTCTCAGGCTGGTCCCAGCTCTGGCCCTGACCATCTTATACCTTAGCAAGCTCAGGCTGGGGCTGTAGGGGGAGCACCCTGGCCTGGTGTGGGTGAGTGGGACCAGGCAACTACTTTGTGGTATGAGACTTTGGGCCAGTCTCTGGCCTGCACCTCCTCATTCTCTGCCACTATTAGATTGAGGCCTCGGTGATCTCTCAAGTCCCTGCTGGTTCTGGGCTGGGGTGGGTCTATGAATACCAACCTTGAAAAAGGGGGTGATGACTGGCCAGGCGGGGTGGCTCAC